ACCAGCATGATATAAAAGTTAGGCACAGGGTAATGTCGCAGCGCAATGGCAGTCGGTCTTTCTGGACGCTGGCCAAGCAGATTGAAAAGAACTTCTCACACAGTAGCCTTCCACCACTTACGTGTCAGGATGGAACTATTGTATTCGACTCAAAGGCCAAGGCGGAAGTGCTAGCCAAGATCTTTGCTGCCAACTCCACCACCGACGTCCCCACCAACGCTCAAGTGCCGTCAATTCAAAGGGTTCCCCACACTATGCTCGACATCAACAACGCTTCTGGTCCGGACTTGATTCCTGCCATTGTACTGAAGAGATGTGCAGCGGAGCTTGTTCCAGTTCTTTCGCGTCTCTTCCAGATATCTTATGAATCCGGCACTTTCCCAGAAAACTGGAAATTTGCTCATGTACAGCCCATCCCAAAAAAAGGATCTAAGACCGACCCTTACAACTACAGGCCTATAGCTCTGCTTTCTGTTATAAGTAAAGTGATGGAGAGATGCATAAATCGCGAGCTTCTAGACTACCTCGAACGTCACAGCTTGATTAGCGACAGGCAGTACGGTTTCCGGCACCAACGATCCACAGGGGACCTCCTAGCTTACGTCACGCAAGTGTGGAGTAAACTCATCCAGTCTCATGGTGAGGCTCATGTCGTTGCACTTGACATCACGAAAGCGTTCGATCAGCTGTGGCACGCTGCCCTCTTAAGCATCTTAAGCAAACTTCCATCCTATGGCCTCCCAGAAAAGCTTTGCAGATGGGTGGCTGACTTTATCTCTGGCCGCAAGATATCCGTCGTAATTGACGGATTCTCCTCTTCATCCCACAACGTCAACGCGGGTGTTCCCCAGGGATCGGTCTTGGCTCCAACACTGTTTCTCTTACATATCAACGACCTCCTTTCCTGCCCGATCAACCCAATCCACAGCTTCGCTGATGACAGCACTCTACATGCAGGAATTCAGAGTGACAAGCTGATCTCTGCCGCTGAGCTGGAAAGAAGAAGACTAGCGACGACTTCTTCTCTGACAAGAGACCTGGAGGCTATCACTGCTTGGGGATGCAACAATCTTGTACAGTTCAATGCTTCCAAAACACAGTACTGTACTTTGACGAACAAATTCGTCCTAGCGCTCATACAGTGTCGATGGACGGCCGAGTTCTACCAAAGAGCCATTCAGTTCGGCTGGTCGGAGTCCAGATCACCGAGGACCTGATCTGGCACGAACACATCTCTTCAATAGCTGCTGCTGCTGGGAAAAAGCTAGGCTGTTCGTTTAGGGCTAATAAGTACTTTTCTCCGCATGACCTTCTCACTCTATACAAGGCCCAGATAAGGCCTTGCCTCGAGTATTGCTCACACATTTGGGGTGCTGCCGCCCCGACTACATTGTCCATGCTCGATGCTGTCCAGAGGAGGGCGGTCCGACTGATCGATGACTCTTCTCTAACAGACAGTCTCGGGACTCTTTCGCACCGGCGGGCCGTCGGCGATCTAGCTCTTTTCTATCGCTACACCAACGGGCTTTGCTCCTCAGAGCTCTCTTCCATGATGCCGCCGCGCGATGTGCCTGCCAGACAGACCCGCCTGACTTCGGCGTCCCATCCTAACCGTGTCAAACTTCGTACATACAGAACTGGCCGATACGACCGCTCCTTTGTCCCGAGGGTCTCTAGATTGTGGAACAATCTACAAGAGGAAGCTTTTCCTAGTTCTACTAACCTTAGGCAGTTCAAAAATCGTATTAACAAAATTTCTTTGGGATCATCATAGCAGCCGCGGTGTTCCGGCATTTAGGCTTCTGCCTGCGCGGCTGTTTCGATATAAAAAAAAAGTAACGTTACGACAATACTGCCACTGGTAACCACGAGACGACAACTCTCTGGGTGACGTCACAAAGCTCCGCCCACATGCACAACATCCTATCTTCAGTGTATTTGTATCGTGACTTTATATTAACTGTCAGTGCACGGAATAAAAATCTTTTGTCATCAAAGACTATTTTTTATTGCTTCTTGTTAGCAAGAAACCGAAGAGTTAATGCTACTCTTTCTTCAGCTAGAACAGCTTTGCTATGGGATGTGTCTTGTCGCTCTATTCTTGGTTTGATACAATTCAATAGCAAAAAGAAATCTTCTTGAGACGTCCTGGTAAAATTTTTGAAAAACCCGTTTCGTCGACCAAGAGATGTTTTGACAAACCTGTGTCATTCAATTTTCTTCTGTTAAGGTATACTTGTGACGAGCATCGCGTTTTGGTTTTTTCTTGTTTGTCTTTTTTAATACACTGGTTAAAATTATAAAATACGCAACGTGTTCACCATCAGAATCTGAATCGGACATACTTTAAAAGCTACTGAAATACAAGAATGCACGTCAAAATCAGCTTTACAAAGGGTTTTCTAACATTTATGGTATTTGACATATGAGGTATCTGTCTTGTCTCTGTTTGACGACGACGTAGATGAGGAAACTGAAGTAAAAATTGTTGCTAATTTAGCGATCAGTCTATGGTAAACGGTACATCCCATCGAAGAAAGAACTTTCTGGTCCTCTTTATGGTAAGTCTGACGAATAAAATTTCCTTTGTCTTCGTTTACTGCTTCGATGCTTTCGTTCGTTGTCCTGACCTGAGGCCAAGCCCAGACGATGCTGATGAGTTGCCAAGAAGCACAAAATATCTTTGCCTGGTTGACTGTATGTGATTGGATGGACAGAACCAGTATGTTTAGATTCTTCGTTCTTCCATTTCAGAGAAAAGTATCTATGGAAAGTAACTCATTGTTCAGTCGGCTTAAAATTAATGACAGTTATCTCGAAAAGTATCCAACTTCATGGCCACATAATGATTCTTTTCAACAGGCTAAGAATAAGGACCAAAGACTGAGAGCAGTTAATGCAAGACTTCCGTGACTTAATCATTGCTGATGAGGAACGAAAGCAACTTTCATTACGTTGCGTAGAAGAACACAACATGCAGGTATATCCTGGAAAAATAATTTAGTATTTTTTTTTTATCCTCCAACTACCACGAAGGCCTAAGGCCTAAACACGAGATCTGCCGGGTGGTACCTCTGCGTTCGACAGTCATAGACCGTCTACCACCTACGGACAATCACAACATCCATAGCTAAGAGAAAAATCTCTCCTTGGACGGGATTCGAACCCACACAGCGCACGGCGACTGATCAGGTGACCGAAGAGTCTGCTTCTGCGCCCACTGATGCTGCCTGAATAATGTTCTTTTAATGATAAATGTCTAAAATATAAGATAAAAATAAAGCAGTGTTTCATTTGTTGAATAAGAATAATATTTTGAAGTCTATACATGGTTTAGCTACTAACTTTCGAATTCAAAGTTTGACCGAAAGTCGGCACAAGTTATCGTTCCCCGATGGCAATAATATTTATTTTTTTAGTTGTTCGAGTCAAATGGAAAAAATAGAGCATATGCCTATCTCAATTTGAACAAAAATTTGTTTACTCTCATTGGCTGGGACATCCTAATATACACCGTTAGTCCATGCTGGTTAGCAATCATCACTACGGTATAGGACTAGTCTTAGAGACAACTGAAAGTAACGAAGCGGGTATGGCTAACTAAAAAGCTCAAAGTACGTGAGGATGTGATAACAGTCACCTACAACTAGTTCGCAAAAGCTTAACACATCTGCGGCCCGTACACTGAAAATGCAGAAAGCCACCTACGCCTCTGGACAAATCTGAATGACTGTTCCGCTCAGTGAACGGATAGATCTCGCCCTCCATCAATGAAAGGACAAACCGTCAATCAATCGAAATACTGAGCGTCACATCTTGAACTGAATAATGGTGGACGACATATATGCATTTATAGAGCAGAACTGTATTCAATGTTAGCAAGAGACGTATGGCTCTTTCCAATCGGACTAAAGTTGTTTTTATCATTTATCCGAACTTGAATCGTATCTATTTAGTCATATGGAGGGGTCAAGTGAAGGTTAAGCTATAACCCTGATTTTTTCGAGTACGCCACTGACAGTCGTCATGAATTGAATATTGTCGTTAGATCAAACACAATTTTTGTGGCTCTTACACTTTTTGCTCGATGTTCTTATTTTAAATTTGTTAAACGATATCCTTTATTATAGTTTTCCATTTAAAAATTTAGTATCAAAATTCATTAAAATTCCTTTTAAAAATAGCCTAAATACCAAATGAGGGTTACAAATTCCTGAAAGGCTGCTGGTAGACTTTGAAATTTCACAAAATACCTGACTAACGCAACAAATGATGATCATTTGGAATGATTGGTTCAAATATATCTAGCACTACTTAATGACAAACTACCCTTCAATTAGGCTTAGTAGTTTCCGAGATATTTGATAAGAAAGCTTTTCTGGAAACATTTCGGACGCTTTTGGACCTATCTTGTGAGAAGCTTTATTTTTCAAATCGAACAATACCTTCGTGTAACAGATGGTCTCCGATCAGCTTACGTTTATCCGAATGAGAGCTACGCATGGGGACCGGATATACAGGGTGTTTAAAATTCGACCCTCACCATTCGGATCTTGGAAACTGTAAGACATGCAAAGCCGCTTAAATGAGGGCAAAGTTGAGTATTTGACTCAAGGTCAACGGTGTGGGTGTTCATGTCGCTGGACGTGTCCTGTTATAATTTCTTTGTTTTGAGTGGTCAAAAGTGCTCGAAAATTTTGGAATTTTCACGCAAACGCTAGTAATTAGTACAGTTAACAAGCTTGTGAAGTGAGACTTCCAGACAAAGTGCATAGGCGAAGATATAAGCAATTTTTCTGCTACAAGAAACATACGTGCATAGAAGCAAGAAAGGTTGGTGGATTTTTTTGGTTAATACAGTCCGTAGAAGATTAAATTCCTAACAAAAGAAACGCTGATAGTATAAGAGCTGATATCACAGAGTTAACTGAGCCTTTAGCGATTTTATTTTCCACTTTTTGTCTCTACACCTGACTAATGTTACTGCCTAATTTTTCGAAATGACTAGCAGCAATGATCTAAGTAATACAGAGCTGCTCTCTAAATTAGTGGAATTAATAAAAAAAGAGAGCAACAGTGTTAAAAGTGAAATCAAGCAAGAGATCCAAGAAATAAAACTAGAGAACGCGAAAATTTTGAATCTTGTAAAACAGCAAGACGAAAAGCTCGAATTACTGGAAAAATCATACAAAAAACTGGAGCAACAGAATTTACAATTGGAAAGAGCCATCCGGAAAAATAATATACTTGTATTTGGACTGGAAGTTGATAGCAAAACTGCTAATCTAGCAGATATAGCAACAGGGAAATTAAACGACCTTTTAGGAATAAACATATCTAACAACGATTTACAAAATATATACGTTATAAACAATAAAAACTGCCCTGTTAAGATTGAGTTTATTTCGTACTTCAAAAAACAACAAGTGTTTCGAAACGTACACAAGCTTAGAGGTAGCAGTGTTTTTGTTGTGCAAGATCTATGCGAAAAGGACCGTCAGACCAATAAAATACTCCAGAAACACCGCAAAGCCGCAAAAGCAAAAAACATTCCTGCTAAAATTGTTGGTGATAAACTAATAATAAATGGAGACTCGTACACTGTCGATGCATTAGAAGGTGAAGCTGATATAGAAGAATTAGACGCTCAGAGCATTCCAACCACGCCCTCTTGTCACTCGGAAGATAATGTTGAAATTTTCAATAAGCCAATCGTTGATGAAATGACTAGCACCATTCCAGTAAGCTCTGTTCTTCCTTCAAGACCCAGCCTGTCACCTGGAGATAAGCCACCAGCTAAGAAGGCGAAACAAGAAACAAGCAAGCAGATGATGGATCAGCAATCAAGAAAGACAAGGCTACAAAGTCAATCCAGAGGGAATAAGTAAAAGAGATATACTAGTGTTTAACCGTGAACAGTGTAGAGACGAACAAGTATAAAAAAGCACATTAAAAAAAAGTGAAAAACCAAAAATATATGAATATGTGTGTATGTGTATTTATATGTATTGTATTAGATCTTCATATTTTAACTTCTATGATCTGATACCTCTCTACCCTTATTGACAGGCAGTTGTTAGGTGGTATTTATGGCCTGCTGGTTTTTATAAATCCTTTTTAACGTTTTTCTTATATCAGGAACATTATTTTCAATACGTAATGTTTTATTATAGTTGCAATGATAGATGTTTTAGTGGACAATTAGTGCAAACTTGTGTCTTGTCGTTGTCATATATTGCATATAAATAAATATGGACACGTATATAAGAGATTTTAAAGTACAAAAAGTTAAAACTGCAGTACTTGCAAACTTGACAAATGCTGAACATTTTCTTAGAACAAAATCAGAACCCGAACTGAAGGTGCTTCACATTAATATCAGGAGCATTCAAAAAAATATCAATGAACTATGTGCTCTCCTTCAAATGTTAGACTATTGTTTTGACATATTGATACTAAGTGAAACGTTTACAGTAAATGATACGAACCTTATAGAAATACCCAATTATAATCTATTTTACAACGAAGGGAAGGTTAACAAAAACGATGGAGTTCTGGTTTATACTAAGAAATGTTATAGCACATATTTTGAAATAATTGACATCCATGAAACAAAAGCTTTGAAAGTAATTGTCGAATTCAGGAACAGAAAAGTACAAATAATAGGTATATACAAATCACCATCCATTGAGATACCGTTATTCAATAGTAGACTGAACGATTTTCTGCAGTCAAATGAAACAGTTGATGTCAATTTATTGATCGGAGACTTGAACATAGACATTATGGACGAAAATAATCCACACTCCTATGAGTACCTTAACATTATGGCCGAACATAACTATTTGTCAGCTATAAACGGCTACACACGAGTGGAGAGGAGTAGTGCAACATGCCTGGATCATATTTTTGTAAATTCACCTTTTTTATCATCTGACTGTATTTCTTCGGCTATATTGCATTATAACATTACAGACCATTTTCCCATAATACTAAAATTGTCTATAAAAGACAATAAAGAATTTAAACAAAAAACAACGAAAAAATACAGGACATATATAAACTACAAAAAGCTGAATGAAGCCTTAAGTACCGAAAACTGGTATGATGTGTACAATGAAGAGCATCCAGGCAAAGCATTTAATGTTTTTGTAAAACTTCTAGGAAAATACATAGACAGTAACTCCAAAACAATTGAAATAAATCGTAACAAGATAAAGAGACAGCCATGGATTACTAATGGGATTGTAAATTCAATTAATAAAAAAAACCAACTGTATAAGGCTACAAAAAATCATCCGGAAAACGCTCAGTTACTAAACGACTTTAAAACGTATCGCAATAAGCTAACCAAAGTCATTAACATGGCAAAAACAAACTTTCTCAAAAACAATATATACAAAAACAAAGACAGCCCAACAAAAATGTGGCAGTTCGTAAACAAATACAATAAAATAAAGCCAGTACATATACGTCTTGTAGAAAGTCAGACGACACATAAACTCACAATAAATGATAAAGATACAGCGAATGAATTTTGTAAGTATTTTTCAGAAGTAGGGGAAATACTGGCAAAAAATATAACGCATCATGAAAAATTTGAAAGAACGCGAATACAAAATTCAATTTATCTGGCACCAACTGATCCGCTTGAGGTAAATAATATTATTTGCCAACTAAAGCTAAATAAATCGCCAGGCCTTGATGGTATAACATCATACACGCTCAAACAAATCAGTAACAACATTTTAAGTGTCTTATCGTACCTCATCAATACTTGCATAGACAAAGCTATATTCCCTGATGCACTAAAAACAGCACTAGTAAAGCCACTACACAAATCTGGAGAAAAGACACAAATTTCCAATTATAGACCAATCTCACTACTAAGCATTTTCTCAAAGATTTTTGAAAAAGTTTTGAAGGCCCGTTTTACTTTTTTTATTGCTAAATATAGACTTCTATCTAAGCAGCAATATGGTTTCCAAGAAGGAAAATCCACACAAGATGCAATTGCAGTTTTGATGGAAAACGTGTATACCAGTCTAGACTTAGGAAACCCATCGGCCTGTGTCTTTATAGATTTAAAGAAGGCATTTGATACAGTTGAACACAAAGAATTACTAACTACTTTGGAGAATCTAGGATTTCGTGGCAAAACACATACTTTACTCAAAAGCTACCTTTCAGATAGGAATCAATGTGTAAAAGTTAATAATTCCATCAGCGACTTGCATCATGTAACATACGGTATCCCACAAGGTACAGTCTTAGGACCTATCCTGTTCAACCTATATGTAAATGATCTTTTTAACCTACACACACACGGTAAAATTATCGGGTTCGCAGATGATACGGCTGTTTTCTATAGCGAAAAATCTTGGGATATCTTAAAGACTCTTATTGAAGAGGATTTCAGAGTCATTATAAGCTTCTTTAATAATAAAATATTAACAATCAATTATGAAAAAACTTTATATCTGACTTTTTCATGTGATGATAGGAACAGTCCCACATTCACTAACATACACATCAAATTACCACCCATAGATGAAGTAGTGGTCCTAAAGCCAGCAAATCATATAAAATACCTAGGAATCATAATAGACAGCCACCTAAAATGGGACAAACAAATAGAAAGCTTAACGAAGAGATTAAGATGTCTTATACCAAAATTTAAATTTTTTAGGGAAATTCTTTCTGATAAAGACTTATGCACCATATACAAAACGTTAGTACAACCGTTGTTAACTTATGGAATTTTGGCATGGGGACCGGTGTTGAATAAATACTACAGGAAACTAGAAATAACTCAGAAATGGATTCTTAAAATCATGTTCCGCAAAACTAACACCTATCCAACAGATATGATATATAAGGTATCCAAGATATGTGATTGTAGGCAGCTCTATTTTGAGAGTGTGTTCACATATATTACAAAACATAAGCATTTATTAAATTTCCTCCCACATGACCATCACACCAGATCCAAAGATCATTCAGTACGCATACCAAAGCCTAAAAAGACCATAGGTCAGAGGAGTTTCACTTTCCTAGGACCAAAAATATATAACTTAATCCCCCCTCAGATAAAAGATATTAAAAATACAAAGGTTATGAAAAGGCATCTACGACTGTGGATTTTGGACCAGCACAGGCTCAAGATTCATCAAGCGATTGATATCAAAAATATATACTACTACTGAAAGCGGAAATCTCTCTAGATATTTGAAAGTTCAAAATGAAAAAAAAAATGTATAAATCAAACTGTTTGAATTCTTACCTCCTGAATTACTGCATTTTATGACTTATTTTTACCAATTTTTGTTCTTGTCTATTCACCTAATATTGCCTTTTGTTTCAATATTGTCTCTATCCCGATTGCGTCTACGTTCCGATTTTGCGACTCCGTCCCGATTGTGTCTTTTTAAAAATTTTACCAGGACTTGTCTAATGAATTTTATATACATATATTTTTTATGTTTTTTTTTTTTTAGTCTTAAGTTATTTATACATGAGCTCATGCCCAAGCACAAGTTTCTGCGAAACTTTTTTGGGTCCATTCGTTTATTGTATAATATTGTCTTTCATCTATTAATGCTATACTTTTTCTTTTGCAATAAACTTATTATAGGTATTCAACAAAATGCCGCTTACAAAGGCTTGAAATTCAAAGTACATCCGGAAAGAGAAGGAAAAAACCAAATCTCTTCAAAGTATTTTCTTGACTTTATTTGTAGTGGGATTCCAAAATAAATTACATATTAACGTAGCCATTTTTTCTCCTCTATAAGATGGCACATTTAGAATTTCAATATGACGTTTCGTCACCTGTCCTATTTTTTCTTATGGACGCTATATTAAATTTTTGCATATTATATGAATGAAGTTTTTAGTTCTGATTCCGAAAATATATAATACTTTATGCATTGACACTGTCAAACCTCAGTTATTTAAAAAAGCCAAAAGGTTGAGATGCAGCCTCTTCGAGCCAAAACAATCACCAATTTTCAACCCTTCCAAAAATTGAGCATGAGCAGGTATATTTTTTCAATTTTTTTTTTGCCAACAGCTCTGCAGCCACTGGACAGATTTTGGAAAACTACAAAGCCTTTTCGTCCTGGCATAGTGGTAGACTTGTGTGAAAATTATATCAAAATTTTAATAGTATTTTCCAAGTTATAGACAGACCGACGAAAATGAGTGACATGATTTTTCGTGATGTGTATGTCATATAACTTAAAAATAATATAATATCTCATGTTCGCTATTATGATACTTCCTCATTTGTCGCTTAGGAAGTAAAATCGCTTTTTTGAAAATGCTCTGTTGCCTTTGTACAACATGCCATCTATACCCAAGT